TGTTTTCCAGTTGAAAAGGTACCACTGGTAGCTAAGGAAATAAATTTAGGCTACACTACAAGTGGTGTTTTGTATAAGTTACTTGTTTTTCAAAAGTAAAGAAAAACAGTAACCTTAGCAAAAAATCCGATGATATGACCTGTAATTACATTCCGCTTATAAATATGCAAAATTGATCATTTCAGAAGTCTGTGTAAATATTATAATCCTCCCTGTTAACTTTTCCATTTATTCATTATCAGTTTCGATGGCTACGAAGGGGCAGGTTTGTTCTTTATAGTAAAATTGTGCAACCATAAACTAGTCCTCACTGTCGGTGTGAGCGTTCGGTATGTTGACATCGACGACAACAAAATAATCCCGGTCAAAGTTCACGATCAGCAAATCAAAGTGCGTGTAGTGTTTAAACGTGAAACAGCATAGGGAATGCACAACTAAAATTCGGTAAAATGGTGCCATACATTTACATACATTTCAACCTATAGCCTTATGCTAGGTAAAGTCAAATTTACCAAAAACATCATAAAATAATATCCAACCCACTAAAACTGACGTGATCAGTCTGTTTGTTTTACCCTCGTTATTTCACTATGGCAAAGAAAATCAAATATAAGCTAAACTATACATGCTATCTGAAAAGAAGGGTTAGAAACAATTTCTGTTTGTATCTGTCATCTGGCATATGACAAGCATCAAACACGTTCAACTTCATATCGCGCAAGGAAATTAATACACAAAATTCCAAATGAGATCATTCTTAAGACCATTTAACTTCATCATTATGTTCATCAACCTGCATCCCCAAAAACTCTGTATTGTGAGTTATCTAGAAACGGAAAATTTACGTTAGGAAATTTAGAATCATAACGTTTATCAAACGGTGTGCTTGAACTCCAGTTCTAGTGGGTAAATATATTGAATGTGGTCAATAAATCACTTATTATCTTTAAAATGAAAATCATCGATATTGTGATTATTCAAATTACCTTATTATCTGGAGTCCATGTGCTCCTACCATTAGGCCACAGTTTACCGCTGTTCACTCGGGAAAATCGTGGGCGCGTTCGGTACAGTAGAATACGGTTGGTAAAAGTAGAACACTAAATTCTATCGTTTAATTTTGATGATATTTATTTGTTTAGAACAAGAATATATTTTGTTTTCTTAAATGGCGTGGTACTTATGTGTTTACATGTATAAACTCATAAAGTGAGTAAGCTTTGAAACTTGAGTATGTTATAAGTGTAAAAGGAAAGAGCGAATGCGATGCGGAATATAACAGTGAGAGGCGAGAACCATATGTGTGACGGATGAATGACCTCCTGCGTGGGGACAATTAATGTACAGAGGCTGACCCCAGGGCCCCAACCCTGGCAGCTCTCTTTGATATTTATTTATTTATTAAAATATATATATATATATATATTATAAACAATAAAGATGGTAATTTTAAAAAAAAAAGTTTTTGATGAAAAAAAAATTGAAGCCTTGGCAAAAATGCAGAATCTAAATCATTAAATATCACTGATAAAAAAAATGTCACCAACCAAAATTTGTTAGTATAATTGATGATTAAAGTTTCGTATAACACAGCGTTTCCTTAATGGTTACTTCGCCTTTTCCACTGAAGCCTGTTCGATATTAAAGATTTGAATGAGATAAACTATTACTCAGTTAGATATGTTGCCCAATTTTGAATTTTCCATTTCAAGGTAGTGATTACCATGCCTCCCCAACTGATGGTGTCTACAAATCGCAGTTGATTCGATTTATTCCCAATACATATTTCTGTGGAAGATGTTGACAACTGACAACTAAACTGAAAATACGAGACACTTAGCCTGTATGTCGAGTCCTTGCTGGACTAAATAGCTGTCTTATGCAGTTTCGTTCATTATTTGACTCCAGTATCTAATTCTAAATTTGTTTTGAAAGGTGCTATTGACTTTTTTTCATTTGGTAAATCTTTGGAAAGATTCAGTTTGACAAAGATTATGGTGATCTCAGTGATCGTCAGCAGTCCATTTACAATTTTTTTCTTTTGGTTATATTATGTTGCCATTGTTCTGTCGAGTTTGAGTTTGAATTAAGATTCAGCAGACAGAACTCTTTTTTGTCCTAAAGCTACAGAAGGTATTTTTATAGACATTTTCACATGCCACATATAACATGACGTTTTACGACAGACGCAAAGTAAATTAAAAAAAAATAGTCGTAAAATTAAATTATGTCAATACACATTCGCTAAAGTTAGCTAATGCTGACTGGTAAGAATGCTATTTTAGGCCACTTGAGTCTGTGTCTACATTGTTTTTATGTCAGTGATATGTTATTCAAGCTGACGCTCTTTTCCCTTAAAGACCTTAACGTAGCCTTTCACAATTATTAGACACTATGGTTGGTGTCAGAACTGAAATATAAACCACCTTCGACAAACATGGATATGTATTTCAGCATGTCAAAATAACAGTGAAATATTGATGTCATAATATAAAATACACACAATGTTCTGCTTGCCGGTGTTGTGTAACATGTATTTTTAAAAAATGCTAGGGAATTATATACATGGAATTCCTAACCTTCGAGAGTTCAAATACAAAGTTCTAATTTAAAAAAAAAAAAAAAAAAGACAAAGAAAGTGAGAACGTTGTACTTAGTTCCGTTTCCGAGATATTGTGATTTATCTGAAATGCACATCAACGGCGATCGCCCCAATACGGGTATACGTAGTCCACATTTGTGACGTCACAAATTTAACGCTCTTGAAACAGCCCACTAGAAATATACAAGGAAGCTTCCAACATGTGTTCGATATGGTAGCTTTTTAACTATTTATGTGTGACATATTCCGTTGTCTGTATGTTATTTTCAAGGTGGTACATATATACAGAAATTACTTTTTCACAATTACGTGGTGAGTGTGCCATTTTAGTCTTTATAGAATGGATACTAGGTAAGATAAGAATTGTGTAAAAGGGAAATATCTTGCCATGAGTTAAAGTCGTATTCCATATTAAGAATAGCAATGAATTAATAAGAAATAAGACAAACATCATCAGAACAATTTCTCTCTCGTTTGATCAAATATTTGTTGCTGTGCTTGACTAATGTTTTGAAATAGCCTTTGGTAATGGTGAATTACGATTATACTTTTATATAGCAGAAGTTTATGAGGTATTAGTAGTGTCTTGATTGAATGTGTGTTTGATTGTCATGATGTGACTTAAAATAACTTCTCGTTTTAGGTCCTGGTTCTGTTGAACAATTTTGACTGATACAAGAAAGGACATACGCAATCCTCTTATATTGTCAATTTAATAAGCACTGTAGATGGTGCTATGTCTGTATTTTTGTTCATTTCCAACTGAAAACAATTATAATAATATCCAATTCATTAGCATTTCTATCATCAAATATAATTTGCCTATAACTGACATTCTTGAAATATGAGTACGTGCTCCCCTCACGTTCGTTAGAAATAGTACATTGATTAGATAAAGCATAACACAATAAGATATCATCTTCAAATTGAAATCAATCAAATTTTAGCGTAAGGGAACATTTTCACTGCCTTCCAAGTAACCATGAAACAGTACCTGATTTGGTTGAAGATAAGCTCATGAGAAAGTTCAAACTGATAAAATGCGTATAAAAGTGACTGAGTGTGATTTTATTATAATACTACTTGTAGTTAGAAATGCAAAACATCTGAACAGATTGTCAAAAGAATCAGGTATCTATGCAAAATGTCGTGTATTAATCATTTAATGAAGAACCCAATGCAATCCTTGTCATCAGTACGTTTTATTAAAGTAACAAAACAGCAAATTTGTAATACAACAAGAAATTGAGCGAAATACATTTCATTCTCTTCAAAGGAAGATTCAATATTCAATGTTTTCCACCGAATTTGATCAATACAGCACAAGCAACTCAAAGGTTTAGATCGCCGACACTAGATTGCTTTATTTTGCCTTCATTTGTTCATAAAGATATTCTTAATATCATTTTGATTTTTTAATCAAAACGGGTTGGCTCCCTTTAAAATTATCCGATCATATCAATAATTTGAATAATCACTGATGAGTCGAATCTATAACATTTTCCTTCTTTCAGTGTATCCGCCACATCACTTAAATTTTGCAAGTCCGGTAAGGACGATTTTTCTGTATTTCTGGAAGATAAAAAGCAATAACAGAGGTACATTATTTATCATTCTTGATAACATCTACATATTTACTTTCGTAAAATTTACTAAAGGTTTTCCTACAGCAATACAACACTTTCCTAGTTTCACTGTGGTTTCTTCCGCGTCAGCAGAGCACTTTCGTAGGATTTTACTACAATTTATCCCACAGCATCACAACACTTTCTCACAAAGCAGCACAACACGTTTTTCCAGATCTTTACCACAATTACTCAAAAAGAAGCACAGGACTTTTCTTGATTTTAATAGGATTTCCTTCACAGCAGCACAAAACATTTTCACACACTTTCTCAAACATCAGCAAAACACTTTTCTAAATTTAACCACGATTTCTGACACAGGTGCATAACTCTTTCCGAGATTTTGTTCAACAATCTCCATCATTTTTACCACAATTCCCCCACAGAATCACAACCCTCGCCGAGATTTTAGAATTTCTTGCCCGCAAGTAAATCACTTATCTAGATTTCACAACGATTTCCAAAACAGCAGCTCAACCCTTTCCCAGAATTAAATTTAACTGCGATTTCTGATACAAAGATGCTTACTATAATTTCTTACACAACAGCAAAACCCTCCAAGATTTTTACCACTTTTTTTTCTTATTACAAATACTTCCCGGAGAGCAGCACAACCTCTTTTAGATTGTATGCGAGTACAAATTCCAGAACGAAAATTTTCTTGAAATAACTATTTTACAACGAAATTGTTAGTTCTCTGTATACGTTTATATACTTTCTATAAGTACTAAACTATAAAGTTTAATTACCTTTAAACGGCTAAGATACTTGTTCTATAAACGTGTGCTTTCAAAGTCTGGTTCATTTGAACATTCTGATGTCTAAAAGAAAACAGAAAGAAATATCATATATGTTATGGTGTCATCAAGTACCGACCAAATCTAAGGTAGCGGTCACAGAAGATTGTGGTATTTTGTTCAAGTAACTAATCATTTCTCATATGTTCATATTGTAACAAATCTAACCAAACACCTTTACATGGATCTGATTCAATGTTAAGTATCTTTTCATTATCCTTTTCTCCTCCCTTTGTCATTTTCAACAGCGATAAAAGTTACAAATATGAACATCGATTTCTAGAATTGTTTCTGAACAATTAATACAAAATAGCTTTTGAACACATCAAAGCTTTCAAAAATATAATTGAAGTTCATTGTTCTGATATTACACCAAGCATTTTAAGCTGGTTTTGTAAAACTTTTTCTTAGAATTTTCAAAACATCTGATCTTTTGAACTTTCATAATTTGAAAGCATCATAACAATTATTAAAATAATATTGCACTTTATATTGGTATGAAACCTCAGATTAAGCCCAGACAATAAAATTCTCTATCTAATAGTAAATCTGTCGGAGTAAAACAATTCAATGTAAAAAGGAAGAGATAAACGTAAGCATGTTATGATCAAACTAACTTTTTCTCATATCAGATTTGGGTTCCTCTTTTACCTTTGCCAGGTGTTGTTTTCGTGTTGACTTACCTCCATGGAAAGTGATTTGTTTTTGCTTATTTCTTCCATCATTAAAATTTGTTGTTCTGAAATTGCACTTAGCATTTTTAAGCTGTTTTTATAAACCTCTTCCATGTTACCCTACAAAATAAATTCAAAATTAGACGGCATTCTGATTCGAAATAAAAAATACATCAGTTATTTGGGAAAATGTAAAACATCATTACCTAACAGACGTTAGAAAAAAAAATGTAAAACATCATTATCTAACTGAATACTTTTTACCCAATATATCAAATGCCGACGACATAGCAATTTTCTGCAAAACCACGAAATTGATCCCAATGAAATAAACTATTTTACAGTACGTGTATTTCTTAGTTAAAAACTAAACGTTTTATCATGAAATTACATGTACAAATTTAAACACGAATTTAATAGACAAAGATTTTTACGGTTCACAGCAACTTGTGGTGAACGTAAAAGATGTATTACAGGGGGACAGGCACTTTCAGTACAGATGTTTATGTTCTGGAAGAAAAGCCACAGTAAGCGATGGTGTACATATACAACTAAGAATATCGACAACACATTATCTCACTATCTTCAGATCTTCCTTGTACTGATAAGTTGACCCGAGCTTTTTTTTCCAATTTTGCCTATCTCCGGGCAGGTCTCGGTGAAAGCTAATGTAATTTATTTTACAGTAGTTGCTATATCGTTGATTGAGAATTAAACGTGTGTAAAGAACAGACTGGATGTCACTATCTAAATACATGTATTAGTAACACTATATTTTTACGAGTTTGAGTTTTCATTTGAGTGCACTTATCTGTTCCACATGTATAGTGATTAGTAAAGATAGATATGAGCTTTCCACCTATATAACATATTTTTGAAGCAACACCGAATGTAAATCTCGATATAAAATAAATAGGTCTTATCCGCTTTAAAACGGCCCATCAGAACGCGTTAACTACTGACTCCGATGTCAGTTCTGAGTCATTTCTACCTCTTTAAAACATTTTAACTAGTCATACCACGAAGTACATTCTGGTTTTCTGTTGGGGATATTTCAAGATTCTATATATAAAGCAAATATTATGAGAAATTCATAACATATCAGGATTTCTTTTTGTATATTCAGAAGTATAAAGAAAACATATTCTTTAAGGATAAACTCACCAGTTTGTGTTCCATATCGTGAAGATGATGACGTAATTTGTAACAACAGCACTTGCTAGAGTTGTCAGGAAGGGCAGAACCAACAGATGTACGACGATTAAATATCCGAGGAGAATTACAAGGTGTGTGTTCTTCTTCTATACTGTAATAATTCATATTTATTCAATCATTATGATATATGTATAACACTATATTTTCATATAATCTCTGACATGTGCAATAAAAACAAAATTAAAATCGCTTTCATCACATAATTGAGAAAAATATATTTTGAATGGTTTTTAGGTAACAATAAGTTGGACAAAATCAAACGGAGGTTGTTATTTTGATGTTCCATTTTCAATTCATGACATCACGTCATTGTTCATATTATGACATCACATTTAATTGCTTACTGGCGCAACCAATGAAAGACTCTAATGTACATTACACTAGAGACAAACACAGAAATATTACTGGTTAACAGACGGATGATGTATTAATACACAATACATACACTTTTGATACTGATTAATTTAAACTGACCAATATAGTTAAGACGATTTTGGATACAAACATATCATGTATACTTACTCCGTTATATTATCAGGTAAAGTGAAGGATTCCGGCCATTTTGATGTACCTTGGAGGACCCGGATGTAATTTCGATATGGTGGTTGATACAGTCCACTGTGGACGAGATATCCGGTATTAATAAAGATAGATAACACCTGTATATTTATTTGCAGAGGAAATAAAATCAAAGCAGTTTTATAATTCAGGGATCATAAGCATGTTGTTTTTTAATATTACTTTTCCATATAAATCAGATAAAAAAATGTTTTTTTAAGAAACATTGTAATCAGTATCATAGCAACCGATGCTGTAAGTAGACTTGATTTCATATACGAATATTCATATATTATTTTCAATTCACATGAAGTAGGAATATCAACCGACAAAATGTACCGACTGACCTTCCCAATAATCTGATCTCAACCATCACATAGTTCTTCAGATTAAAGAGCTTTGTGAAGAGTGAAAGTATCTCATTTAAGTCGGTCATTACGTTTTGTTGGTCTTACTTTATAAGATATATTAATGAATTTCAGGTTTTGCTGAAATCTAATTACTCTCTTGATTTGCCTACGTCACAGAATGTCTATATGTCACAAGAACATCGATATATGAACGGATTTATATATAAATATATACATTATGTTACAGAAGAATTCTGATTATTTTACCGAATGCTATATGGTTGTTAGTACTCTATCAAGAACATCTAGGGAAAACATACATTATATACTGAATATGTAAATAATGGCATTTGTAAATGTAAACAGAAATTATGTAAACATTTGACACATCGCTTCTGGTATCATGTCAATCCGACATTAAAAAAAATTATTTTAAAGATATGGTACGTCAACCGTGTTATCGGTGATTGATATATATAAAGTTGATGGCTTTCTGGCACTAACAAATATGAGTCTTAGAAACGAAATTCTCTATCAATTGTCCTCTATATCGTATGAGCTTACCATTACGGTATTTCAAGAATGATCACTGATTTTATGTAGAAAAAAATATGAAATCAATGATCAATTTTCATTCTTTTTTTTTTCATTTGTAAGATATTACACATACGTGTTAATAGGAGATTATCTACATATTTATATTGAAAAGTATTTCAATATCTCGATCATATCTTTTTCAAATTTCGATTTACGATAATCATATATATATATATGGAAAATGTTAAGCAAAAGATATTTATGGCTAAACTACTATAAATGCAAGGAAGCATAACTACTGCAACAAGTCCCTTAATATACCTGGACGATGTATCACTGTTAGGGTTAGTAACTGTGTCAGCACAACTCTCGTGACTGTTAGTTGACATGGAAACGGGTGGCTGTGGTGCAGAATCCCCTTGCATAAGTAGATTTGAAGTGTTAGTTGTATTTGAAACGGGTGTACTTAATTCAGCGCTAATCACATTCGTCAAAGACGTGCTGTCTCCTGTCTCGTTTTTCTGTGAACTATTTCTTGAACACATCCCGCATTCCTCTTTTTCAACAGATGTATTACTTTCAAATGATTTGTGTTTCTGACATGAATCGCTTGGATGTTTACTTGAAGATCTTGTAAGTCGTTCAAGAGAATCAAAACGCGGGGACGTGTTACAACAATCATTTTTCACCTGAAGACTTTTTAAGCCAAGTGTAGATCCGTCAAGACTGTCCTCAATAGCTTCACAAACTAAAGTTCCATTCGGATTACCTCTGACGTTAGAAGAGAGATTTGTCTCTGTTTCGTACCCGGGATACATCGGACTTTTGTTGAGTGTATCCACAGGATGTACCAAGCTTGTCTGATGATTCCTGTGCTGTGTTTTATCATTCCTTTGACTCCGTCTACCTACTAATCGTTTTACGCTATTAACAAGCTTCGATTTCCCATTCATTCTTTTTTCGTTTTTTTCTTCGTCAAAATTTGATATTCGAATTCCTGGCAACCCTCCTTGCTTGTTTGGTGAGGCTTTCTGTGAAGCTGTTATAATTGCTCGAAGTCCTTTACAAGGTGAGTTTGGCGACCAAAGATGCCCCGTCGATAAATTACCGTCGCTAACAGTAGATGATTGTTTTGTCTGTTTGCGATGTTTTTCTATTTCCTTTAATCGTCTTTGTCCATAGCATCTGATTATTTGCTGTAAGGCAAGGGTAAATATAAGTGTTTCTATGGATAAAGCATTAGGATCACTAAAGAAGGATGATGTAAAAAAAGGGGGGGATATCCGTGATATGTGGCTAATATGCACTTATGTTACTCTTTCGCACACACTTTTACATATTCTTTCCGTAACCGATATTTTTTTCTTATGTGTTCGGAATTATAAAAAAAAATTGATATACTTTTTGAAAATATTTGACACGTAAGTAAATGCTTTGTGATATTTTTTTTCAAATATTGATTTGTAATATTTCAAAAACTGTGTAACAGTTAAAAATTCACATATGATCCATGAAACAATATCACTTATAAATGACTTGTATTGACAGAATGAATTCTAATCATTTTTAGCATTTTTTCGCTGAAAGTGATATTCTTTTTCATAATTTAATCGTAAGTAATATCAATGCATATTATACAACTGTGCAATGGACCCTTCCCTACATTTGATTATAATTAGTAGTCTGTCTAAACGGAAGAGGTGGGGTGGCTTCTACAAGTTCTTTACGGATTAAAGCAAACGGGAGCCATAGCAGATAACTGCTTCGACAATGTCGCATTTGTGTTTAGTATTTTCCTGAATAAAAATGATGACGATTTCTCATTTAACAATTAAGATAAATTTCAAAATATTCAAATTAAAAACAACTACGAAATGTTGAAAAAAAAATGGAGATTTAATACTGTATTTTCATCAACAACTAAAATGAAAAAAAAACCGTTCACAGAAACACAAATGCCTTCTGCTATGGCGTCAGTGTCACTTTCTGTTACAGCAAAACACAACATCCGGTGACCTATAGCTTGAACACACACACTACCTCTATGCCTACTATGGTGTTTCACAGAAAACTCGTGACCTACCGGTACCTGAAAGTGTGCTTGATTTTTCTATCGCCAATGTCCGTTTTAATATTTCCATTGTCTGGATTGTCTTTGGCAGAAAATTGCAATCTTTTTCTTCCATATTCCACTAAAATGGTCTGCAGAATGACATTCTTTTATCCACATGAAAATTCTGAATAACTTCTTGTTATTCTTAATTCTGACATTTGACGCTTTGTTTTTCATTAATACCAATCAATGATCTTGTTTTAATTTGTCGTAATATTTTTATAAATAATTCTGAAAATTCGGTAAAATATGACTAGAAATTTGAGAAAATAGCTGTTGATAATTAGTTACTCTGAAAATATTGACCATCCAACTTTCAGTTTGTGAAATTTGTAGTTTAACCAGGATATATCCTACATGTTTTGAACGCGAGGTACGTACTAATACCCACCTCAGCCTCGGGGTGATCCTTGAGTGCCTCCAATACGTCTTCCCGCGAGAGTCCGAAGAGTTCCGAATAGCCGACTGATTTTACATCGGCGGTTCGCCTGTAAATTTATAGATAAATGCTACTGTTATTTTGCATCATAAAATATTTGAATAAATATACAGATAGATAGATATTTATTTTTGTATTTATTAAACGTTTTCTATATATATTATTGCCATTAATGAAGAAACGTAATATACATGGTAATCAGAAATACAGAAGAAAACAACTATCAGTCTTCATCTGTTTGTATTTCATGTTTTTAATAAGGTTTAATTGAGTAAATTCCACAGAAAAACCCTCCATCATTGCCATAACTACCAATTATATTTTCACGTGGCGTTGACTGGTTTTGTTTTATTAACTTCATAGAACATAGCTCAGACCTGGAATTGTTACAGTCATACGATCTTCCTGAAATTTAATTATATACTTCAAACCAGAACACTAATAATTGGAAAGACACGTTGTAGTAAATGTATGAATAGTGATGTACCTTCACAAAATTAGATGTACAAATTTCTATTTTCCCGAATCTTATATACATAATTCTTTTTTGTTTTTTAACCTTCATATACACATTTCTGTTGTTTTCGAATCTTAAATTAGATTGATATTTCTAGTTTCCAAATTTTACATATACATCTTTCTGTTGTTGCCTAATCACCCTTTTTCGAAACATTCGTTTACAATGTCTTGCCTCCAAAATGTTTTTTTTCTTCCTATTCATAACCGCAAATTAATTTACGTTTGTCAACAGGTTTAAACACATTCGTTCTGAGAGCTTGAATTTCTAATCCAAACAGAGAAAAACTCTACTATATATGAAGTAAGATTATGTGTTGAACCACAATTTAGACCTAAGATATTAATCAGTTCTTTTGTTGTTTCTCTCTCTCTCTCTCTCTCTCTCTCTCTCTCTCTCTCTCTCTCTCTCTCTCTCTCTCTCTCTCTCTCTCTCTCTCTCTCTCTCTCTCTCTCTCTCTCTCTCTCTCTCTCTCTCTCTCTCTCTCTCTCTCTTTCTACTTATAAGATTTTTTCCATTTTATGTATTTAAATATTACCTATTGATACCGGCGTCCAGGTTAAGAATTCCAATCTCTCCGAAAAAATCTCCAGTTCCCATTTGTGTCAACACTGTCCCTGTCTCACTGCAATTAATACAGTATGTCAGATATGCTACCAGACAAGGTTTATTTGTATATAAGTCATGATATCTTTGTGCACAATCTTCTACAGTTCAAATTTTCATTTTCTATATTCACACATACTTTACTTGATTTTTCCTCGAGTTATCTTTCTTCTGTCTCTCACAACTGTAAACTCGAGAAGCAAATAAGACAGGATAAAGAAAATTGTGGTTGCCTTCCTAGAGATTGATATGACTGCTAAACGTTTAAAAATATCCATTAGTGATACCTAATGATCTCGACGAGTCCATCAGCTATGATAAACATTTCCCGGGCCACTTCTCCACGACGACATATTAAATCTCCCGGGGTGAAGATGTAGGCCCGCATCTTCAGCACCAAGTCATGTAGAAACTCGGGCTGACACTCTTGAAATATGGTTACCTGGTCGAATGGGAAGTGTTTCCAGATTTTAAAAATATATAAGTAATAAAAAATACTGTTTCTATAAACATTTTCGCAGGTAATACTATATTAATTGATTTAAGTATAGAGATATACTACCAAACGAACCTACCAATATTGAAACTCATTTCGAACACCCTTTACCTTTGTTTGCCCCTCCCTACATTGTTTAGTACAATTAACTTATTCAAACATGGACTATCATTTTCTATAATCCTAGCAAACATGGATGCTGCAGACAGAATCACTATTTTCTGTTGTAAGTGAACAGACAACAAACTATGAAATAGTGAATGCGTTTCTACACAAATTAATGAGTTTTCTAGTTTCTTTATATCTCAAACAGTGTGAATGTGCTTTGACACCTTTGATAAGGTTTTTCGTATTAATGGATTTATATTTTTTATGTCCTGTCTTTTTTGAGGGGGAAAACAGACAAATACATAACGAGAGCCAGAGAAAGGAAGGGACAAAGACACAGAGATCCTCTCACACAATGATAGAGACAGGGAGAGAGATGCAAACACAGACATACAGAAATACATAGAGAAGGAGAGAGGCGCGCGCACATACACACAGAGAAAGTGAGAAAGAGACACACGCATCGACATACACAGAGAGGGAGAGACACACACACACATCGACCTACACAGACAGGGAGAGAGGCGCGCACACAGTCACAGAGAGAGAGAGAGAGAGAGAGAGAGAGAGAGAGAGAGAGAGAGAGAGAGAGAGAGAGAGAGAGAGAGAGAGAGAGAGAGAGAGAGAGAGAGAGAGAGAGCGGGGGGATTGAAAGTGAAACGCATAACAGGGAGCGAGAGGCACGCACCAACACAAATAGACACAGGAAGAAGCAGATGCACACAGACACGCGGAGAGAAAGAGGCATGCACACACAGAGACACACAACGAGAACTGTTTTCGAATCATAATGATTTTTACATATAAATTATGCTAATGTATATATGTATGATAAGAAACTTACCTTTTTCAGTGTCTCAAGATTAACATGAATAGCCAGTTCAGTTTTAAACTTGTCAGGTAGCATACCCAATGAATTGATGTCGGATCCCTTCATCCGGCCGCTGTATCAAGATAATATGGATGTCTAATCAAGCGAAAGGTCAAAAAAGATTAATGACAACAAAACATCTGCCAGCACTGTCGTTTAACATTTCCTGACCAAGCTCTATCTTCAATACATTTCATGACTCATTACAGTAGATTTTAGCTTTGCTAGATGATCTTAGATTTGATTTGAAAATTATGAAATCCTGATGACTGTCACAGACCAATTCTCTTCATTCGATAGGTCATGAAGAAATCATCTATTTGTTTTCATTATACATATGAATGAACAATGAAATCTTTCAACTATTGTATATGGAAAAAAATTTAATATCATTGCACCATCTTGTAACTAGTTAATACTGTATAAAATTCTTTAATTCATCGCATAAATTCTTATCGCGAATCTGTTACCAAAAATTACAACTTTCATACATAAGTGCGTCATCATGTAGTACGTCATTCTAATGAGGAATTTACACGGTACACAGACTTACCGTTTCCATACATAGTCATACCATCTCTGTACTCTCTTCTGTAACTGTGGGGGGACGTTGTGCATCCTCATATATAACTTAGCACCATCCTATATAAAACATGGTTGTCCGTATGTTAAAGTAAAATGATATGACGTTATTCACCATTTTTATTACAATATTATGAGTTTACATTTTATCAAATACAATCTTCAAGTCCGAAAGTATCAAATAGTTGCCTGTAAACAAATCATGTATGACACTTTATGTTTCAATAATCACATTAGATTAATATCAAAGAATATTAGTTCAATTTCAATATTGAAATAACTGGTGTAAAATGTAAATTAATAGAAAAAAAATATACAAGGACATAATAAATTGTACCGCGATACCTCCAAAAGGGAGATAACTTGAGTTGGACTCCCTTTTTGAAAAGGTACCCCGCATATATGAACATTAGTACCATCCTAAATGAGAAAAGGAGTCGATCTGCATTTCACTGTATAAAAGTGTTCTACATTAGCACCATCCTAAATAAGACAAGGAGGCGATCTACATTTCACTGTATAAAAGTGTTCTACATTAGCACCATCCTAAATAAGACAAGGAGGCGATCTACATTTCACTGTATAAAAGTGTTCTACATTAGCACCATCCTAAATAAGACAAGGAGGCGATCTACATTTCACTGTATAAAAGTGTCCTACATCAGCACCAGCATAAATAAGACACGGACGCGATCTACATTTCACTGTTAACATATACACCTTGCAACAAACTAGAGACCATCAGTTTCAGTAGGAAAATTTTAAGCAAAATCGATTTTTTTCCTTTTGTTAAAATATACATTGTCATACTCCTTGCAGTGTCTTCCGTGTTTGGTGCTGTATGTCATCTGGCGATATACCCAGCTAGACTATATCCATGATTAAATTTGAGTTCCTCGTATTTTATCAAACAACGAGTTTGTGCTGCGACCTAAAGCAACGTTTGCGCTTGTAGCACTGGTAAACCATAAACTTGATCATACTGTACTTTAAAATGGCACATCGAAAATTGACAAATACCAAAAGATGGCAAGCGTCTGGAAAGGTTCAGGTGATATGGCATAAAGGCAAGTAGCTGCACGTTTTTATGATAGTCATCCTGTTATTTGTCGGAGACTGCAGCGTCTTAACCAAACCGGGCATGTTGACGAACGTCCTAGGTATGCCAGAGTTCAAAAGTATGTAGGCAGGCCTCATTCACCACTCCACTACCAACAGGCTGAAAGGACAGGTGAACCTCAATGTTCATGTTAGCCGGCGTAACGTCAACAGACTTTTGAACAATAGGCAACTTCGTTCTCACCGACCAGTAAATCGTCCTCTGTTCACATGGAGTATTTGGTCTTCGCAAAAAGTCCACTGGTCTGATGAAAGCCTCTTCTTACTAAGACAGACGGCAGGTTCGTGTTTAGAGATATCGAAATATGGCCAACCATTAGAATCACATTGTTGGGATAACAGCATTTAGTGGTGTCGTTGTAGCCCTTTGAAGATACTTTTCTGTAAACTGTACGCTTTGTTTATCTTTGATGGAATTTTCATTGCGCAAAGTACCCTGATCAGATCCTTCGCTCTTTAACTGTTCCGCATTTAAATACCAATCCTAATGGCTGACAATGTCAAACCACACAGAGAGTCCGACTAGACAAGACAAGAAGTGGTAGATACACTCCCTTGGCCTGAAATGTCACCAGACACGAACCCAATGGAACATGTGTTGGACTTTCTCGGTCAATAAAAGAGACCAAAATGCCAAATAATTGGAGAATAACGGACTGTATGGATTCAGGAGTTGCGTGGTGGCTATACTTGGTATTGACATTTTCATACCGAATAGAGCTATTTGATTAGTTACTATTCTGGATAAAGTAACACGTTTAAGTGATTTGATGACGTATCTTTCTAGACGTTAGGCTTTATTTTTGAGTATGTCTTTTTAAAAATTACATCATACTTTAAGTTCTGTACATTTTCTTTCCTATCGACTTTGCAAAGTTTCGTTAAATGCCTAAAGAACATTACTACATATCATGATAATTTGTCATTGAATATTTTTTAAATATAACTAACAAAATTCAGCATAATCTAAAATATGGATGGTCTCAAACTCATGGCAAAGTATATATTTTTGGTTATTTTTTTCAGTATAACTTACTAAAAGTCTCTCGAACTCCTGTCGACTGGCATTCCGGTTTGTTATTACGTTTCCAACCTGTCCTGTAGAAACAACAAAACATTTCTGATATTTTTTCATAAATATGTAAGTAGTAAATATGGAACTTTCATCGTACAGATTAACGATGACAGAGAAAACAACGACATTTTATCTACCAAACTAATTGATGCAAATCTTAAAGAACATTGGTACAGTTTAAAGTGATATTTTCACTATGAAGAACTTGTTTCACTTTTGTATTTTGATGTATTCGTTACCTCAGTTCTTTATTGTATAAATATATCATTGTGTTTAATTGACACTCACCTGTCCCACACAGAAAGCTACCTTTACTTATTTCACAAAATCATCGTTCTGTTATTTCCATCTACCATTACATGTCACTCAGAACTCATATCATATTCTAAAACTCTTTTCTCAATCCATTCTCACACTCCCAGTCTGTTCTATAAAAACTCACTTGTTTCATATAATAATCTCCCGTTATTCAAGCAAAACATTACATGATCATCCCCCGTATAGCCAACTTGCTCGTCACACAAAACTCCCACCTTCTTGTCCCGTACAATTACTTTACTTATGTCCTATTTCACTTTTTCGTAAAACGTCCATTCACTTGTTTACCCGAGTCATATTTATTTTTTTATCTTGCAAATGGCTATGCCGTCGTCAGAATACACATGCCACATATATGCTGTATTCGGCATTGACGGAAAACAGCCGTGTATTTTAGCACGTGCGGTAATTCGACAGAATTACTTTCTAAATTTGCTTGAATATTACGTTTAGAAATATGAACAGTTGTTGAAATAAGCGATTTTACATGCTGCAATAAGGATGTTGATGTATGAAAATCTATAAAACACTGTTATATCTGATGGAGTTTGGAACTGTATATCCATACGGAGCAATTACTTTGGCGTCAGTCATTTGGTAATTTTCAGTCAACATCAGATAAACACAGATTGAACAACAAAACTGTTTAAGTTTCATAGTATGATTTTCAATCAATGTTGCAGGGATTAAATCGAATACATGGTCAGCGTCTTAAAATATAAACTGTGTTTTGGCTCTATATCTCTCTATATCTTGTAGATCTGATAACAACCATGCTTTATTCATATAATAGTACCGCATTACGGACTTTCGTTTCCTCATGTGTAAATTCTCCGCAATTCGATGTTGTAATCAGAATATGAACATCCAGCCATGTTATATTTTTGCCACTCAATGAAGAACAGAAACCAAATCACATGAGCACTTTTAAAATGTAATGATTTTGGAAACGGCGAACTTTTAGTATTCTATAAAGGGTACCCAAGTTTTTCATAAACTCTGATGATTGTTGAAGGATAAATGACATAAAAACTTCTGTATTCCTGATGCCTTCAATTCAAATATTCTCTATGTTATGTTACATATAGTTCACAAGAAGAAAAGTACAACATAAACATTATGCCTAGGAAACACTATCTCTTACACTACAAAAGCACTATGCTTTATGTTCATTGATGTAAACTAATAAGCATGTCTATTCAGCTAGTCTAAATATTTATCAACATTGAGACGTCCGACACCTCCTTATTCCACACAACCCTGAATGTATATCTATATATAAGTACAAATATATAAGCACTGATACCGGATAAGTCAAATATATGTTTGATAGACGCCACTGATTATTCATTAGTCATTCAACGACAAGTTCCATGGGAACAATACTGTTTATAGTCATCAGTTCGACCATTCAGATATACTCGGATACTTATGTTACCGTTGGTATTAAATTCAGTGACGCACCTTCAGAAGTTCGAAAGGGAGTTCTGATACGTACAACACGAAGATTGCATGTTAAATTTCTATTTCGATTTGGTTTGATCGACTTCTTGGCAGTTAAATAACACATAGCGACGCTGAGTAGACGGTTTCAATTGTTTAAGTTATTAAACACGTCATAGAATTCATGTTACTCGATGCGCCATTACAGTAATTTTGTATTTTAAGCTCTGTCTAAAGTGTTGGTTTCAGTGGTAAATTCTTGTACTACAATTAACAATATACTATATCCGTTTTAGCTTTATTAGGTGGAAGAGTATACGACCGTCTTATTTATTCCTTGTATGATCAGGAATGTTTTCTTCTCAAGTAAATGTGGACATTGTTACAAGCAAGTACGACAGCGAATTACATTGTGAAAAGTTACACATGAGAATTATTAAGCCCCTCTCTTGGCAGCTTTTTGTTTCAAAGGATGTACATCGGATAACACCATTAAAGATATAACAGACTAACAACTGCCCTGCCTTATACCTTCATCTATACTTTTACGCAGACATCAGGGACCGATTCTAATTTTCTAATTCAGCTGTATAAGTATTGATTTCTATAATACCTTTGCAAAATTTCCATTTCTAAATTGTAACATTCCTACTTCCACAACCTATAGTGATTGCATGTCGACTCGATGCTTTAAGGTTTGTTGCCAATATCACGGTTTTCGTGGTAGACATATCTGATGGAAAATATTACTTTACAGGTTTCTAGAGAGTGATGTATTTTGACGAAGACAATAAGAAAGCTTTGTTAGTCATGGTCTAATCGGTAACATTTCACTTCTTCACACATGACGTTTAATGCCTTTGATAATTAAAATCTATTTCTCGTTTGAGAACTCTATCTTTCATGGATTGGCCTTGATAACATGGAGGGATTTCGGTGCTGCTTAATACGTTTGCTCTTCAATCAAATTTGTTGACAAGTCACTTCCTTGATTCTTACTTTATCGATTTTTCAATTCAGTCTAATCACTTATCAGTTTGAATTCATATAGCAAGTATTAGCAAATAGTTTTCCCTTTAAGATTCGGATTAATTTAGCACATCAACACTCGTAATTAAGTCATTTTAAAGAAACGTTTACATTCAGAAGAACTTTTAAATAATATTGCTAGCGACGTTAAATCAATCGGTGAATACAAATAATGCATTAATGTTAAAGTAACGCTGATTTAAGTAAAGAACACAGGCGATAATGTTCCTGTTCAATACATCTTTGCCAGTTTACATTATTTCAGAAAGAACATAGAGACTACACAACGTGAAGTTGTGTCATTGCATTAATTCAGGTTATTTCTTTTCAAAGGTTACAGCAACACGAACTTCAGGAAAAAAAGCAAATTGCACAAAAAAATATGGAACTACTTATTGCGCGTTTTAATTTCCATGAATGTGTGAAGCGTCTTTTCGGTCAAAGTTCAACGTTACAACAAACGGAGAGAACGGAAGGAGATATACCACAAGTGGTATATATATTGACTATCCAACCGTTAGCATGTTTACTCAATGGTCTAAAAGGGGAATAATATTATTTACCAGTATATGTTTAGGTATAGATAATAATTATCTTTAATCGACACTTGATACTTCTTGGATGTTTCTGTTTGTGTTAAAGTGGTCCTCTCTTTTACACTGCTCAGCAGTATCAGTGTAGTATCCTATGTGTAAGGGGTTTACAACCGATATTATTTAAGTACTGTTGTCCTGATCACACATACTCACAAGTTTGCCTGTCATGTGTTAATGCTACCTACTTTCAACGAAATTATTTAAAAGTGATGAAAAGGTTTCAAGTGATCTAATCTTTATCAAATTCCTCTCAGTCGTGATATTTGAGAGGTCGTTTCATTGATGTATGTGTCACAACATAACATTTGATATCGACATTCATATCGAAGTTGTGAGTCATATTGGTCCGATTAGCCTAATGTTAATGTATGATGTTACTATACTCGAATGCTGTGGCTAAGAAATTGTAATTCCTGTCACCAACAACGATTCTTTCATTTCATCCTCTATTTGTGAAGTTTCACATTACACATGCAATCCTTTTTATTCTTCAAACAAATCAGCTGTTGGATGAATATCATATTTTTGCAGGGTGAAAAAAATTTTCATTCATAACAGATTTGTTTAATTTTTATAGGGAAGCTTTCACTGATATTTTTATTTCAGTAAGATTCAATATAAGACGTTATCAAGGAGTAACTGATTTACTTACGTTACCGAACCATTACACACGACACAAACACCTGTATACCTTATAGCAATTAAAAGAAAGCATTACAGTATGTGTACGTTAAAGAGTTAGGCTAACTTTTCCCGCTAAACATTGGTTAGTATGTTGAATATGTTTCGTTAGAAGTAAGATATTAAATAGTTTACTTACCAACAATCGTGGCAAAGATGAATACACCGATGAGGTAACTGACTATAACAAAGACATACCTGCAAGAAAAGTGTTGGTGTCATCAGTAGCATTCACTATAAGTTTATCCTGGTTACAAATGTTTGTCATATTCTATTTTACATAGACATTGAATAAACTGTTTTAAGTCATTAAAATGGCAGGGATCCCCCATAAAATATTAAAATATAACTAAATATTACTTCCAAATAGTATCATTTTAAAAAAAGAATATATACTGAAGCATAGATTCGTATTCAACCTGATACAAAAAGAGAAAAATGCTGAAAATTGTAAAGTAGCTACATAACTGAACGTAACTTATGACAGACGAGAAGACGAAGAGTTAGTGACAGGAAGTCACTCGAACGTAGGATCAACTCATTATTATCTCGAGTAACTTAACTAGTAATATCTATTATTGATTTTTGTAAAAGTATCATAGCTTGGTTACGTTACACTTTATTTGGTATCGCGTATGGGAGAATTAAGCAAATTTTTGTTCACATGTAGGCATGTTACATCAAAAAAGGTACGATACACTCATACCAACAATTTCCTGATCCAAACTACCGTTCTAACCACATAAAGAACATAAAACAAAATAAAACCAAAGGTAGGTGAGGTGTCAAAACAAAAATGCAACTGAACATGAAATAAAACCAGCCAACGAATGCAATTTTGGTGTTAAGTACAGAAATACGTAAACATATCATGCTGAAAACGTAGCTCGAATTGACAGAAACAAAAACCGTCGACGAATCCACAATGGATACTTACGCAGAATAGGAAAGTCGAGCACTGTAACACAAAAATCTGGCCTTGATACATGTGTGATGTATACCACGGGGTTGCATCGCCGTGTAGACATACCCTTGGTCTTTTTTGACACTACATTGCATTTACATTTAAAACTAAGATTTTTTATTGACTCAACTCATATCTATTCAAACCTATTTTGAATCTAAGAATTAATTCCATTTACTATCCTCCTTCTAGGATATGGTTTATGAATACTCTACATCTTACAAGAAGTTGTCGGATGTATGCTAAATGCTACCGTACTTAATCATGTAAAACATATGAATACTTATTGTTGTAATAGTGTAATACAAATAATTGCAAGCAACAAAAATTGATTATTGATAAAAATGGAAATCACAAAAATTGATTATTGATAAAAATGGAAATCACAAAAATTGAGGTTATGAGTGCATCGTATTCGAAAATTCTAAAATGTTTCTGGATTTTCATTACAGCTTTTTCTTGATCCAGAAATTTAAATAGTAATCTATTTACTACACTGAGGTAAAATAGCCAATGCATTCCATACAAAGAATACGTATATATGTTGTATTTAAGGTGACGGGTACCATTTTGACTCGAAATGTTACCACCTATATTACCACTATTACCAAATCATGTATTATTTTAGAATAGCAAATCAGACAGTATTTCTTTTTTTTTTTTTTTTTTTTTTTGTTAAAGACAAATTATTCGCATACCTTTTTATGTGGAAATGTGTTCGTTTGAATAATTCATAATTAAAAGAAACACAAAAGGATGGATCAAACTGAACTAAAAGACTTGATGAATTTCCATATCCAGATAGGTGGAAGTTATCTTCGTAATCATAACGATGCAGTGGTACCCGTTACCCAAATAGAAAATATCAGTGAATTTCTTAAAATAAAAAAGGATAGAGGTAGTCAATAAGCATATGTACTTACTCCCAATTAGTTTCTGGTGGTGGAAGGTCACCTATCGTAGTTAAGGTCAAGGTCGACCAAAATAGCGAAGCTAAATACTTCCGGGTCACTGATGAGAACTCTCCAATTGGTTTAGGGTACGACCAGTCCCCTTTAAAATCTTCTGCTTCTGATATAAGGTAATAAAAAGCAGCAAACCAATGGGACCCTAGGAAAAGTATATGTGTAAGATTGGCAACTCGAAAGAAATTTGGATAAGCTGTCCTTGACTCTAGCATGTATAAGAACCTAAATGTTCTATAGAGTTTGATAAACCTCGGAAATCGAACCATCGGATGTATTCCTATGATAAACTGTAGAAAATCCAAAGGAAATAAACAGGCAAGGTCCAAATAAAAATATTTCGTAGACACATAATTTTTAGCCAGTTTCACAGAATCAAATACCATCAGGCCTTGATCCAAATATCCCGTTCTAAACTGACATATGATATCTAAGATATATACAATATCACACAGGATGTCACATGTAATCCATACAAACAGGTGATCTTCATGTATCTCTCGGAACGCTTCGCGTGCAATGCATGTCCATAGGTTATACATCACGGCCACCGTGACTATACCAGTCCAATACAGCATCAGATTGCCGTCCATCCGAAACACTGTCCTATGTTTTTCCTTTGATTCCTGTTTACTAACATTTTCAGTATGGTTTTCTATGGGATTACATATAGATTCATCCCTATATGGCTGGCGTGTTGAGAATTTTTTGAGAAATGAATCCTCTCGTGTTACAGTAGACTTTTTCTTGGTCGCTACGGCATTTGTTACCTTGACTGCATTTCTGAGACTACGCCATCCCTTGCCAACTTCCTCTTCTTCTCCAGTTCCTAGGGTTGAAACTTGATCCGAACGACGGCCTAACCGTGATTTCATGTTAAGTCGAGCCTTTGACTTTCCTGAAGAATTGCTTGTAATTGAAGATGTACTTGTCTTTCTATTTTCCATTTTTGTTCGAACTTCCGGAGAAGGTGTTCCCACTGGAGTTGTTATTTTCGGTGATGACGGTGTCGCAATATCTACGTCGGGTGTTGTATCTGTTGGGTTGGCCTCCAAATTCATGATGGAAATTACTTTCGAGAATGTTACTTTTGAATTCAATGTTCCAATCATCTAGATCCAACACGTGTCAATTTATATTTGGAAATGGACAATTCAGTCTAAGATAACATTCCATTTTTTTTAATATCCCCCTGTTATATAAACCTTCCATCTTTTTTTCAACATCCGAATTCAGTGTAAATATGTTTCAAATTACAGATTATATACTGTCTGGCGTGGACGATATCTGTGCCGTTGTAAACCAATAATAAAACGCAATTTCAGTGTTTCTACATGTGCGTCCAGTTGCACTTTTCTGGTGGTTGTGGTTCTAGCATTAAACTTTAGATATTGTATACAAGCGTGATTTTCATAACTTTTCAAACGCCATTCCAATTTGTGAATAATTAAAAATGACTTCAATTAAGAACATATAACCGTAGTTAAATCGAAGTATCACTTTCCTTATTTTGTTTCAGCCATTGACTGGAGTATAAGAATGTTTTTTATATGTATCTGAGTCGTTCCATGGTTGATAAATCTTTTATTCCCGAATACTGATTGATATAGATATAGTGTACACATAGATATACGAGTTAGTTCATTTATCCAGTGGCACTAGTGTTGTTTTCATTTAATCACAGACGTGTGGTGGAAATCCTTGTCAGAGCTGTCCTTGTTGTAACGTCAATATCCATCTGATTCTGCAATAGAAAGAAATTTTTGACCATTTTAGATATTCAAATCAACTACTTTTAATAGCAACTTCGGATTTCAGTCTATTAACAAAAGCAATATAAGTGAGCAAAAAGAAGAAATAAAGATCAAATGAATAGATAAGGAAATGTTTTCTTATAGACCAAATCATTACTTCAACAAAAACAATTTTAAACTTTCGAATTCACAAACAAATTTATACCTGGATATTTAAACCATACCGTGCTCGTAATCAACTTATTTTAATATTAACTTGGGATTTCAGTTCTATTAACTTGATAAACAAAACAAGTAAGCAAAAAAGAAGAAATAAAGATCAAAGGAGTAGATAATGAATGAAATGCTTTCTTAGAGACCAAATCATGACTTAAACGAAAAAAGTCTAAAACTATCGAATTCACAAACAAATGTATACTTTGATATTTAAGCCTTACCGTACTCGCAATCAACTTATTTCGATATCAACTTCGGATTTCAATTCTATTGACTTCATTAGAAAAAACAGAAAGATCAAAGGAGCATATGATGAAGAAAATGTTTTCTTTAGACCAAATCATAACTTCAACAAAACAAAATCTGAAATTGTTAAATTCACAATCATTACCCATATTCAAGCCTCGATATAGTAACTTTTTATGAACAACACTGAGATCAGAATCACGGTTTACCTGTAAATATATTTGCTTGTTTTGAGCATGATGACCTTTCATTAGCGCAAGTGTTTAATATATAGGGAGATATAGTAACAATGAACAGAATTGCATGTAAAAATTACATTACTTACACAACATACAGAGAATGAAATCGTGGTTTAGACTTGTCAGAAAAATACAGGTAATACATACCATATTCCATCGTCCCTTAAGCCCATAAACACTCCAGGCGAAAATTTTAAAGTTTAACATAAAGACATTCCACATTGAATAAAACTCCAATAGCAGTTTAACATATCTATATAAACCAACCGTTACTAATCAGTCCTTTAAACGAAATTCAAAATAAGAAATAAATAATGTAATCCATCACAACGGTTGGAATGTGTAAATATTCATACAGTCAGTTAGCATGTTATTTGAGGAGACAAGACACCACAGGTCTCGTACCAAGCGCTCTGTGCTATGCAGTGTAGCATTCTGTAAGAGACTGACACAAGCGGAAAAGATCACGGAGAAAGTCGATAAAACCTCTCTAATCCACGAACAAGTGTATTTTGAACAAGACTAATAGAGCGTTGAAGGATTTTATATTTCGAGTTTGACTGAAATGAACATCTCAGAAGTGTGATAGAAGAAACATGACAGCAGACATAATTGATAAATCCATTGATTTCATTTCTTAATTTAGAAAAATATATATGGATATGCAGGCACAACATACATCAAACTGTGTTATTACATACATCAGTCACATGCTCATACAACCATTTCATTTATTTGGAATATTGGAGATCAAATCGCTTGTATCTACCACATTGACATTTGTGATCAGATCACCAGTATCTACCACATTGACTATCACTCCTTCATGATTTGGTAGTGTACTCATTTCCATTTGATAAGAAAAGGCCGTTTCGTCCACAGGAGCAACCAAATGCAAAAGAGTGGGGAATGAAGCATATGAAATGTTTACACCAGTCTAATTTAATGAATAAATTACCAGATTGCCAATAACTTTGAATATACTGGATTTCAGTATCGTATTTTTGTGTCTTACTTTCACCATAATATTGCTTGGCGAATACTAGACTGGCGAATTTCAATCGAGAAAATGTTATAATATATATGTTTGCTTTCTGTTCTTATTTCGCTTAACGCTTTGAATTAGGATTTTTTTTCGAGTAACGAAACAATCAAAAATTATTAAGTATGTTGTATTAATATTTTTTGGTTTTATTTATCATAATTGATATCACAATGTATAAGGAGAACTTCCTTTTTATGGTCGCATCAAAATTATCATTGATAAAACTTCTGTATTTTCAAATATTCCTACAGCTACTGGGGTTGTACATTTTCAGCATGACGCCTTTTTAAAAATCCCAGATAAATTGTTATGTTATTGCTAAATCCGTAATGCGTTTCATCGTATACACAATACTATCTATGAGAAATGCACAGGCCAAGAAAGATGGCATGAACTGATTTTTAACACTGACCTGCTGCTTTAAATTCCTTTATATCCCAATAATAGAATGATCCAGGGTGCCCGATTTCATTGATACCAAACCGTATCTAGAATCAATTATTCATGTCAAGAAACCCTCGTAATCGGTCTCATTCAGAGCTTTTAACCACATTAGTCAAATCAATCATGAAATGAGATTCATCGTCATAACTCTAGAGGCAGGGCAAGCGTGACCATTCCCGCCATCGGGAACTCCCATGTGGGCTAAAGTCACGCCCACTGTCCAGATTTCATTCATAGCCAATGTAAAGCAATATACTTTTTAGATTATACAGGGCAGTATCACTAAACCGTTTTTGATAGGTTATTGTGTTTGAAACGTTTTTGGTTTGTACCGAAAAGGCAATCGCTTGGGTTTCAGTTGTTGTATATTTAATATAATTAATTAAACTGTCCTAAACAATTTGTTCGTATCCCTGGGACGCATCAGTGACGCTGTTATATTTGAAGTTGGGTCGGGCGGATATCTAGACGGCTAGTTAGAAAACTCTAAATCGGACAAAATAGATGTCAAAATACAAATGGGGAATTCTTAATATTCAACAGATATTATAACTTGACATGTGACTAATTTTTTTCTAACGTTGTAACTTTAGAAGATATTTTTTTATGATTTCATCAATTTCGGGTTTATTGTTCATGTCCATCGACAGTGTCTATCTCATTCAAAGACTTCTATTTTTTGTAATACTTTTTAATTCTCAGGAGAAAATCATTATAATGATTGGTATATTATGATAACTGACAAATAAGGCCTCGTTGTTCCTACTCTTTCTAATATGACAGATATGATGTTTTTATCTGATGTCTCATAAAACAAGAATCGTTGTACCATGAAAGAATGATGAACGCTAATTGATAAAAAGTTGTTAAAAATTATTTGATTTGATGTTAAGGACATTCAACCCTCGAGATTAGCATATGTTTGATATATTGCTACTCTAGCACGTTTTCATCGCATAACTCTGCTTTAAACCTATGAATTCAACCCTGAATTTTCCATCACAGCATTAAAGTATTTGAAGGGTCTTACGTCATCATACACCTTTTAAGTACAATATAACTTAGATAAAACTAACTTTAAATCTCAAGATCGTCATAACAGAAATATTCCGAAAGAATCGCAAAATAACATTGAGTATTATGGATATACAACTTCATACCGCTATGGTGTTAAATGTCTGCGAAATTGGCATACACTGTACCGTTGTCATTTCACCACTGGAAAAGGCCCAGGAATGACAGAATGATTATCAAATTTATTTTACATCGATAGCTACAACAATTTACCTGGCAGTTACGACCATAGAAGGTTTTAAAAGGATTATTTTATATACAAATTCCGTCATGTGACACGTCCAGGATGTAAGCCTCAAATATTGGTACAGTGCGGGTCTGAAATGTAAATTTGTGTGTGTTAGCTTATGCTACTTTAGGTAAATGTGCCTTTGTTGAGAGATCTTTTGAGAAAATCACAGACCAACTACACTTTCGTTTACAGCAATATAAGAATTGAATAAGCAAGTATACTAACCCTTGACAATATATCTAACGAGTGAAAATCTATTATGTGTTCGGTGACCCTACGAAATCATATTTAAGTATTACCTGTATCACTGGTTGTGTTTGAACAGCTGTAGTTGTATCATGTAGTTGTAAGCATTATTGGAGTATGAGAAAAATACAACAAAAGAAAAATGTTATATAAACCAACCAGGATGGTGTTTTGTAATTACAGTTTGAAACATTCCCTTCTGTTTATATGTATATGCATTAGGTTGAACATGTCATCTATTCATTCATATTGTAAGTCAGTGTATACGACTGATTTTCACTATTTGTATGAAACAACTACATTGGACGTGTTTTGTTAAAACTACAAAATCAATGCAATATCAAGTTATGTAGTTATATAATGAAATATATTTATTTGTGTCCACGCAAAAGCCATAGTTTTGTGGACCCGGCGTCTGCGGATAATGTTGACAAAGAAGTATCGTTTTATAGTGTTAACATACTGAAATTCCATCAACTGGACATGGTAACATGACACCTCACCAGGTCACATTATCCTGACAACTAGCTAGCTAGTCATTGTCCTGAACGACGAGCATGCAATACGAGATACCTTTTAAATCACTTACGTATACACAGACATATATATATAACAA